CGAGAATTTAAAAATGCCCAACTCACTTCAATGGCAGTTTTATCTTCAAGGATTTCATAATCTCTTTCCCAATCAGCAACTTCATTTCTTAACTTTTCATTTTCGGCCAAGGCAGATTCATAAGAAGCTTGAAGAGCAGCATGGGAACTCTCTAAAAAGCGAACCTTACTCGAGGATTCCTGGAGGTCTTCTTGAGCTTGAGTCGGTGTTTGCACGAGTTCAGCAGCATATTCTTCTTTTTCACCCAAGAGAGCCTTCAATTCTCTAATCTCCTCACTGGCCTTGGAAAGTTGCTCAGAAAAAGAGGTTTCAAGACGCAATTTCTCTTTATTTGCTTGGCTTGAGGAAGCTTTTACAACTGCCAACTCTGAAGTTAAGGCCCTTACTTGCTGCTCTAAGGTACTTTTACTTTCTTCTAAGGTTTCCACATCAATTTGAAGACTGTCACACTGTCTCTTCCAATTATCTGCCTCCATTTGGTAGTCATGCATTAATTGTTCAGAGAGGGTAGCTCTTTTCATCATTTTCGTGCCAATTAAATTGACCTAAAAGAAAAGAGAATGTGAGAACTCTGAAAATAGAAAAAGGTTAAAGTAAAGCTTGAAAAAGGAGTACCTTTAAAGAAGCATGCACTATGTCATTCATCAAGGTCAAAGAACTATGGCTATCAAGATTAACTCTTTCAACTGGACCAATCAAAGGCTTTAGCCACACGTCTGCTTGACCTGATTTCCTTAAAAGATTACCCTCAACAGGAACTTCAATAGTGACTTGCCTCATAGCAGCATCCCTACTCGAGGAACCAACCTCAGTATGATGAACAGGAGGGGAAGGGATTGTTGGAGGAACAGTAGAAGCAGTCAAAGGAAGGAGTCACGATCGACAAAGAAGGAGTCACAGGAACAGAAGTAGAAAAAAAAGCCAGGGGTGCTTCATCAGAAGCCGGACCAAAATCTTCACTACCAAACCCGCGGTTAGAAAGCTGCTCAACAGAATCATGAGCAGCAGCGGGAACATCATCAACATCATCGGGATCACTACCGTGGCTTCAGCAGGCTCGGTAAAATGAGTAGAACGGCGGGGGGATGCTTCATCATTAGAGATAATACGTCTACGAGCCCGTGGCCTTGTTACTAAGGAACCCTCATCTTCCTCTTCTTCAGAGTCTTGGTCATCAACGGCTTTTCTTTTCGATGAAGAGCCCAAAATTATTTCTTGGGCCCTTTCCAAAGAGATACGAGAAGCCACAACCGCCTCGGCTGTAATCCCTCGAATTGCAAATCCTGATAAAAAGAAGGATTAAAATAAGTTCAGAAAAAAGCAATATGTGAATAAAAAAACTCTTACCGTGAGTTTTCACTTTCCAACAAAATCGTTGGAAAAGAGTCTTCCAGGATCTACTCTCCATTGGGGCAGTATTCAATAGCTTTCCTACCCAAACACGGAAATTGGGAACATCGTCCACAACTCCCATGGTTGCTGGAAAATAAAAGAAAAATTAGAATAAATAATCATCAAAAATTGAAGGGAGAAAGGTACGAGAAAAGTACTCACGTGCAAAATTCCACTTCTCGGGGAAGGGAACATTATTATCACCCACCAAACCAACGGTAGGGGCAGCAACAAACCTAGCATACCAGCCACGGTCTTTGTCATCCTCTGAACTAACCAGAACTCTTTTGCTCCTTGCTACTAGAGTGAAAACACCATTGCGTAAAAGTATGGGGGAGTAAAGATGAATTAGGTGGGAGAAAGTAAAAGGCACACCTTCCATATTGGTCAAATGCCTTAAACAGGCAACCGCCCCCCACACTATAGGGCCAATCTGACCTAAACATATGTCGAAAAAATGACAGAATTCTAGGATGACAGGGTCAATAGCAGGATTGAATCCTAATGTGAAAGGATATGTATAAACAAAGGAAAATCCCATCAAATAAGAGGTGATTCTTTGGTTCGCATTAGGAATTATGATGGGGAATCATGACTCCAATGGCAGTCCTTCCGAACTAAAGAAATCAGACCTTCAGTGATCTGAGTTGGGTAAATATCAGCACGATCTAAAGAAGATACTTGATTTCTAAGAGACTCTCTATCATTATAGAAGGATAATTCCGCAGGAACTATCTCCTCTACCAGAGGTTCACGAAGAGGCTAAGAGGATTCCTTACCTCTAGAGGAAGATCTATGTGAAAGAGAACCTCTGGTTCTAGAAGAAGGGCCAGAACTGGATGAAGACCCTAAATTACGTAGTCTACCACCCCCTCTTCTACTCCTATTAGGGGCAGAAGGAAAGTTATAAGCTATGGAGACTCTCTTAGGGTTAGGGTTTGGTGAAGCCATGGCAGTACGAGGAAGGTAAAGAACAAGAATTGAATATTCTAAAAGTTTTACGAGGAAGATGGAAACAAGAATTGAATATTCTGAAAGCTTTATGAGGAAAAGACAAAGGCGAAAAACTAAATTTATACTAGGAAACAACCGTCGAAGGAAAAGGTACAATGATGGAAAGGTCATAATGAGAACTGTCGCTTCGTGATTAGTGAAGCCGTAAAAAAGCCTTAAAAGGCGCTGCAAAGTTGTAGAGCTAATAAAAGGGCGCCACGTGTAATGAGCATTAAATGGAAGTGACAATTGAAGCATCGATTCTATCATAGCATTAATGGCGGTAAATATTCCCGCTTTAATGAAATCCACTTCCCAAATATTCAATTGATGAATAAATGGCAAGGGGGGGGGGGGGGAAGGACTATCTGTATTGGGTAAAACTGAGTTTATGCATATCGAAGTGATTGAAAGATGACGTGTCATGACACGTAGGCAGGTCAAAGAATGATGATTAGCAAAGAGGCACGAGTTACAATAGATACGAGCAGAAGCACAAAGAGGCACGGGCAAATGTTCAAAAGAGTCGATGCTCGTACCTCTTTAAGTCTCTAAAAGCTAAGAAGAATGAACCTGACAGCACAAGGGAGCCCAAATACAGTATTTAATAAGCATTAAATACTGCAAGCGTTGGAGAATGTGTATTAAATTTCAATGATTATGTAACGTAGCATTTAATGCCTTTAATCCTCCATAATGACCTTATTATGACAAAGGAAAAATACTAGTATTTGCACAAGAAGTGCAGAAATATAGCATGGATACAAGCGACCCAATGTATTCCGTAAGAGTCGAGCCTAACCTCGACGAAGTAGTGACGAGGCTATAACAAGATACCTACATAAATAAAAATGTACAAGTGTATATAAAGCAGCAAAATAACGAGAAGAATGATAAAATACTAACTGGGAGGGGACATGCGAAAATGGGAAGATATAATAAATACACTAAGTATGACATCACAAAATAACATCTTCCAAATTAAGCAACGATATAACCAAGTAAATCACCAAAACCGGAAATAATATAACTCAATGATATAAAAATGGCACGACATCACCCTTTGTGCTTTTACTCTTGTCCTCACCATGTAATAATATGAATGAAATGGTACGGTATCACTCTTCGTGCTTTTACTCTCGTCTTTACCATGTAATAATATAAATCCGAATAATGATCAATGCGGGGAATAATTTAACTTCAAATATGGTGTCATGATATCAAACTTCAACTTTCAAAATACTCAACATCTTCAGAATAAACAATAAATACAAAATGAATAATTAAAGAAATAACAATCTAACCTAAGCATGGATCACATAATTAACGAAACAATATAATACAAAGAAGTAATTTTCACCCGCATGCTTTAACCTAATGGCAACACATAGGTACTCGTCACCTCACACATACATTGTCCCCAATATTGATAAATTATCAATATTGATAAACTTCAGATTTACACCATGATGTGTGCAATTATCAATAAACTCCAAGTTTATTATGATATGAGTTTTTATATCAATAAACATCCACTTTATTGTGGTATTCTTTTATTTTTGTAGTACAAACTGGAGAATAAAGCGGGTAGCTCTTCACATACATATTACCCAGCTACAAGTTGTAGTAATAGAAGATATTAAATCTTTCCTTTATTTATAGTCTCAATATAATCAACCGCTTTCGCGTATACTTTGGAAACTGAATAAGTTTCTTTGAGACTTACTACAACACAATACCTCATTGGTAATCAATTGTGTTTCTCCAAAATAGTATAATTGGCTCTTGCAGAGTTCTCAATTAATTTTGTAGTACCACATATTCATCAACACCCATAAGTGCATATCTCTTTTAAAGAGAAAGTTATACCATTATGGTTATGGTCAAACTTATATGCAAGATATATTTCTT